ATAGATAGATAGATAGATAGATAGATAGATAGATAGATAAATAGATAGATAGATAGATAGATAAATAGATAGATAGATAGATAGATAGATAGATAGATAGAGAGAGAGAGAGAGAGAGAGAGAGAGAGAGAGGCATAACGCAGCATCGCCAGATGCCTTCTCGCCTGACTCTCTGGTACATGTCTAGAGTTTGTAGCGGCTTGAGTCACCTAAAAGAGCCTCCCTGCTACTCCATCCATCGTCGTTCTCCTCCTCCTCACTCCTCTTCCCACCCTCCTCCTCCCCCCTCAAGCCTTCATCCTCCATCCTCTTCTCAGCCTCCATCCTCCTCGCTCCATAGTCGTCGTTGGCATTCTCTTCCTTGATCCTCCTCATCCTTTCTCCTCCTCCATTTGCCCTGGGTGATGTAGCAGGCCCCCATTCTCCCCACTCCTCTTCCCTTCTCCTCCTCCCTTCTCCCATCTCCTCCTCACTTCTCCCATCTCCTCTTCCTTTCTCCCATTGCCTCGCCGCCGCTTGTTGCTCGTCCTTGTCCCTCCTGCTTCTCCTCCATCTGTGTGGGCGACATCACAGCCCCCCTTCCCCCCCGCTCCTTGCTTCCTGCTGGCGACAGTGTCCACCCTCACGCCCCTGCCCGTCCTGCAGCCCTCAAATGCCCCAGCGCGCTTTCCTACAGGCAGGGGAATTGGGAGGGGAAAAAACTTACGGTGGCGGCAGTTCTTTTCGTCCCAACCCTGTCGGACCCCCTCGCCTGCGGTGGGACGACGCTGTGTATCTCCAGGTTCTACTGGAAGACTCGGAGCCCCAAACAAAAAAAAACACCTGGTTGTTGTTTTCTTTTTTCCCGATAGCGTCTTTCTCTTTTCCAGCCTGCTATGTACTTGTATTTGAACATTCGCCAAGACATGACACTGCAATTGCCAAGACAGACAGGAAGGCGTGCGGCCAACCCGACAGAAAGCAAATTTCACACTGCCCTGGGCCCAGGCCCTGGCGCTGCCCCACAACATTTTTCCCAACACTGCAAGCGAGGCCTAATGGGACCGTTATGTGAGACCCGACTTAACTTTTATGAAGAGTATATAGAAAAGAAAGAGAGAGTACCCAAGGGAGTAGCAAAATCCTATCTATAACATGCTGCAGCTGCTGCTACTGCTACCAGTATGTAGCTGCAAATCTATCTCACCGCTGAGGTCTGTGTTGGGAGGCTTAATTGAGCTGACAACGAACGGCTAGAAATCGCCAAACTCACCTGCTTCATGTTCTTGAAAAGAAACGGAATCTAAGGGAACAACAATTTCCTATCTATATAGTGACAGTGTGACAGATGCATGAAGTCGAGCATGGAGGAGGGAACTACACCCCCGACATTGACAATGATAGTGACAATGTACTGATAATGATAGCAACAGCATGGCAACAGCAACTGAAATAGCAACAAGTGCCAATGAACAACACTGCAAGGAACATAGGACTAAAACTGTGGACGACATGATGACATAGCCATGAGATGGTAGGTGGACATAAAAAACAAAAGAAGTTCTGGCCTGAGCATTCACCTTCATCGGCAGGTAAGGAGGGATATAGCAGAGCAGCAATCACAAAGGCTAGGGTGCGCTCAAGCCTACTTCCCCAAACCCAACTCTCACTGTTGGTTGGATGGCTGGGTGGGTGGGTGGGTGGGTGGTTTGGTTGTTGGTTTAGTGGTTGGTTGGCTGGGTGGCTGGTTTCGTTGGTTGGGTGGGTCGCTCAGATGGTCGGGTGGGTGGGTGGGTCGGGTGGGTTGGTTCCTGGGTTGGCGGTGGGTTGGTGGGTGGGTGGGTGGACGTGTGAGCGGGTTGGTGGGTGGGTGGGTTTCAGTGGTTGTGTTGGTTGGTGGAAGGGTGGGTTGAAAGCTGGGTTGGTGGGTGTGCGGGTCTGCAGGTGTGTCGGTGGGTGGGTCAGGTGGGGGGTTTGTGGGTGAAGGGGTTGGGTTGGTTGGTGGGTCGGTGTATCGTGTGTGTGGGTTGGTGGGTTGGAGGGTTGTGGGTGGGTCGAAAATTGCCATAGCACAAAAACAGATGAGGTTTGGTATTCCCCTTTTTCCGTTATTGATTCTGTTTGTTATTCCTTGTTTAGTGGAAACGAAAGGTGCTCCTTTTGATTTACCAGAAGTGACATCCGTTAAAATTGGAACGATACAGAGAAGATTAGCATGACCCCTGAGCAAGGATGACACGCATAAATCGAGAAATGGTCCAAATTAAAAAAAAATAAAAGAGAAGAAGTGGATCTGAGTTAGTTGCAGGCTATAACGTAGAACATTCTTCCATGGGCTTTGCTCGTTCTTTTTTGCCGGTAGTATGGCAATATGATCTTAACGAGTATTTTGGGTGGTTGCGTGGGGGGTTGGTGTGTTGGATGGGGGGTCTGTGGGTTGGGTGAGATTTCAGTCGGTTGAGTGGGGGGCTGGTGGGTGGGTTGGTAGGGTGGGTGACTGCTCCGGTGGTTGGTTGGGTGTCAGATATATGCATGCCTGGGTTAACTGCCAGCAATGGGTAGTCCAAGAATCATCAAGATTGGGGGAGAGAGAATGTAACACAACTATCCAACCAGCCACCCAATTGCCAAGCAGCTGCCAGATCTGCACCTACCCCGTTGTTGCTCTTATACGAACGGATGCATGCACATGGGTTGCGTGGTTGTTTGGTTGGCTGTCAGATATGCATGCCTGGGTTAACTGCTGGCAATGCGTAGTCCAAGAATCATCAACATCTGGGAGAGATAATGTAACACAACTATCCACCCACCAGCAAATTACCAAGCTGCTGCCAGATCTGCCCCGGGTCGTTGCTCTTATACCAACTGGTGCATGCACAGGTGAACTGTCAGCCATGCAGAGTCCGAGAATCATCAACATGGGGTCAAGATACAAAATATCACAATGGAAGACTCAATTCAGGCACGGGCTGACCTGATCAGGCTGCAAACTGACAATGCACGACAGATCTGAGTTCATACTCTGCAGGGAGGGGTCCATATACATGGAAGAAGCATACCTGCACAACATACACTGATAAAGTGAGGTGGGAGGAGGGGGGGAAAGAGGAGGAGGAGGAGGAAGAAGAAGAAGAAGACGAAGTGGAAGAAGAAGAAGAAGAAGAAGAAGAAGAAGAAGAAGAAGAAGAAGTAGAAGAAGCAGACGAAGAAAGGACTAGTAGTAGTAGTAGTAGTAGTAGTAGTAGTAGTAATAATAGTAGTAGTAGAAGAAGAAGAAAAGAAACAGATGAAGAAAGTAGTAGTAGTAGTAGTAGCAGTGGCAGTGGCAGCAGCAGCAGTAGCAGTAGCAGTAGTAGTAGTAGTAGTAGTAGTAGTAGTAGTAGGAGTAGGAGTAGGAGTAGTAGTAGCAGTAGTAGTAGTAGTAGTAGTAGGAGTAGGAGTAGGATAGGAGTAGGAGCAGTAGTAGTAAAGGTAGTAGTAGTAGCAGGAGTAGTAGTAGTAGTAGGAGTAGTGGTGGTGGTGGTGGTGGTGGCGGTGGTGGTGGTGGTGGTGGCGGTGGTGGTGGTGGTAGTAGTAGCAGTAGTAGTTGTTGTCGTCGTCATAGCGGTGGTGGTGGCGGTGGTAGCGGC